ATAGCCAAAGGAATAGGCTTTCAGATAGCACCCAGTTTTAGTATCTCAGATCACTGATGACAGATTCCGAGCCTACGCGAAAATGTGGTGAAAAATGGAGGTGCAAAAAAGCGAGGGGTAATGCCGGCCACTAAGTGCAATAGCACAAAAGTCGAAATATCGTCACTGGTATTCATCCTTAAACCGTTCTTTCGATGGAAATTTAAGTGAGAATTAAGAAACGACAACTGTATTCAGCAGTTAACAGTACACTGCACTGCAACACAGCACTGCACTCGCTGCAACACAACAGCGCGGCGCCAACAGAGCAGCAAACTAACAGAACCGTAAACACAGCAAGCAAACTAACACAGCCGTAAACACAGCAACCCGAAACGTTGAGCTTTAACGACAGAAGTCGCAAACAAAACCGCGTGGAATCATTCCGGACACGTGTCCGGTATTACCCCGAGGTCAGCTTTATTCTAAGAAAGCACTAAGCAGGCAGCAGTCAAAGGCATTGCGCCGCAAACGCCTCACATCCAGCAGTCGCCTAAGAAAGGCTTAATTGAAGGTCATTGCAAAGCAGCACTTCTGAAAATGCGTTAACACATTTCACAATCAGGAAATAGATGCAACAAAAATTAAAAATCAGATACGAAAAACACCTTTAACGCTATAAAAATGAAAATAATGGAGCTACCGTGACAAACTTGCACCACGTGCTAGAATGGCGCTCAACTGAAATGTAAACAACATCAGCTGATTAGTGATGGACAAAGTACCCACTAGAGATGGGTGGCGGGCATTACCCACCGTCCGCCATTGCCCCACTCTCCCCTATGACTTCCTCTAGCAAGTTGTAGCCAGATATCTTAAAAAGTAGCCAAGTTATAGGTACGCATTATAGCAAATATTTTATTAACGCATTATTTCAACTATAGGTAGAGGTAGGTACCTAGGTATTTATTATCAATTCTAATTTTTTCAAATCCATTTTTCAGCACGTACTTGACATTGTACACCAATATGAATAGCACTATCGTGTTCCTGAGCTCAAACTGCATCCGATAGACACCTTCTTCGTTGAAAAGTTTCAACTTTGAAATTTGACTTTTTTTATCTGAAAGTGGCCTGACCTAAGCTAAATTCAACTCAAAATGACCTCGAATGACATAAGCGACATCAATTCGAAATGTGTGGCCCAGATGGACCATAAAACATGTGTCACATGACTGATGCATGATAAAAGATTTCAGTGATCTTTGATCACCTGACCCTGACCTGAAAATCAAAGTACAAGTTTGGTACCCTCAGGGTAGCTAAAGCATCTCTTCACGAGTGTGTACCTACACCAAAAAAGAGTCTGATATAACTTTTAAGACGGCGACCAGAGCCCAAAATGTGAACAAGCAAAACATCGATAATTTTTACTTTGACCTGACCTGCGACGTCATCGGTGACCTCGAGGACAAGCCGCCGTTTGAATTTTGGCCCAGGAGCCGAGTTAGAAGGGGGGGTGTTCAAACACCCCCCCCCCCGCCCCAGCGGGGCGTAGAAATCCAGGACCCCCAGTGGGGCGTGGGTAAATAACGCTGTATTTATTTAGCTTTTCGAAATAAAGGGTCTTGCAGTTGTGGTCGTAAAGCGTCTTTGGCTTACCCTCGACTTGTGAAACACCCAGGGGGGAGGGGGTATCAACATTCCCATAGTGTAAGAGGCCTTCTTGCAACTAAAAAAAAAAATGTTTAACCCGCCCACCGACGGGGGGGCGGATATCCGCCCCCCCCCTGAGGTTTTTCACGAATAGCGGGAAAACCGAAATTTGGTATGACTATAACCTCATCAATTTTACACATGGTGTGCAAGTTTGAACCTCCTACCTTTTAAGGTCAGGTCACCAGGTCACTTTGAATGACCCAACCTCAAGTCACTTTTTTGCAACTTTGTCACCGTGCCAGAGCTACAGTAGATGTCGGAGGCCTTTGAAAGTCGCAGGATATTATTAGGTCATTAGTAGCTACAATTTGTATAGCTCGGAATTTTGATATCGGTGACCTAAGGTCAGGTCAATTTCGCGACCTCCCCATTATAAGTCAATGGGGGAAAAATCAACTCCCTGTTTTTACCACTAAAACGGGTCGGAATGGCCCCATATACCATACATGACTTCATATACGATCAACCTTCACTACCTTGAGGTCTGTTTTGCTGTTGGGCAGCTGCGAGGTCATGTGACGTCATCAAAGGTCACCAAAGGTTTTTGGCCAATAACTCCGTACAGGAACAAGATACAGACGCTTGGATGGTCTCATTGTGTTCAGCTCGTCAAGACGCATCGAATGATATACATGATGACCTCGAGGTCACGTGACCTGAGGTCAACCTTTGACCTTGACCTTTCGAGGTCAACATATATATGATCCGATGCGGATTGACGAGAGGATCACGATGATGCCCTTAGTTTGTTCCTATCTTGACTAATTCGAAAGTTATTTGAGAAAAACTCTCTCCATATCTAGCGCCGCCATTTTGACTTTTTCGACCCCTGTGACGTCATCTTTGACCTGACCTGAAAATGACCTTAGTAAAAATTGTAGATCTTGGCCGTGCGTATCCGATGCCGTTTACCGCTTGTCGCTATCTTGCTTCGTTCTCGAGATCTCAGGGGGGGGGCGGTCATCCGCCCCCCCCCCCCCGTCGGTGCGAAGTTGGCGCAGACCCCCGTCGGTGCGCGGGTTAAGTTTTTGTTTGTTTGCCCCTAGATTTATTTTGAATGCAAATATTTATGGGGAAATTATGCATGCTCACAGCGCGTGCACACGTTAGCTCTTAACCCTCGCCGGCACAGGGTGGGGGGTTGATGCAACCCCCCCCCCCCCCCCCTCCTAAGGTTACTCGCGAATAACTCGCGTAAAAAGCGGCCGATCGCGACGGAACTTCAAGTACCCTCGCATTGATCAATTTTACACCTACCCTGAAAAATTTCATGACCCTGACCCAAATGACCTTTGACCTGTGACCTATACTTTCCAAGACCATGTTTGGCCGGAATCGCGATTCGGCGTATGTCGGCTCGCATTAGCCGCGCGTTTGCAAGCTTTCCGTGGTTTCAAACGTTCAGACATGTGATTTGATGTTACTCCCATGCATTAGGGTGGGTGTCAAGGTCACCTGAAGGTCAGGTCAGGTCATTGACCTTTGGTGACCTCGGTTCACTTTTTCGAGTTTTACATGTTTCTAGGCTAGTTTTTGGACCTGATTTCGAATTTAGCAACCACTTGAAAATTTACGAAGTAGTTTTGGTGCCTTCGTAACATGCTACGAAGCTGTCAGAGGCGGTTGACACTTATTACGAATACCTGTCACGACCCCTACCGGTTGACCTGACCTGACCTGACCCGACCTGGTCTAAATGCTTAAAGACATCATCTCTGATCAAAACTAACACGATATTCGTGATCAGCACTCCAGCAAACCCGATAGCAGCCACACTTTATGACTTCCTAACAGGTCCCGATTTTTCCGATTTTCGGGTCATTGATCTGACCTGAAAGGTCACACGATGACCTAGGACCTTAAAATTGGATATCATCGGCTTCCTCTTGTGACGGGCAACACGTTCGTTTTTTCCGCGAAGCTCTAGCTCGATCAGGGGCCAAACGCGAGGGGAGTCGTACCAACTCCCCCCCCCCCCCCCGCCTTGTGCCGTCGAAGGACGCAAAGTGGCCTGTGCCGGCGAGGGTTAACCCGCGCCCCACTGGGGGGGGCTATTTATAGCCCCCTCCCGTTTTTCTGCAATAACTTCCAAACCGCTTGACGTATCGACGCCAAACTTTCAGTACCTTCGGCTGCATCAATTTGACACCTTGTGTTAAAATTTGAACTTCGTAGCTACCACAGGTCGGCCGGAAATGACGTCAGAGTGACGTCATGTTCGGCCGATTTCGACGCAAAACATCGAACCACGGCAATCGCTTCCAAGCGCTCAGTTTTTAAGCTAGATCCAATTTCTTTGCATGAGAGGACTTAGAATAGACTGCGCTATCAAACTGCTATCTCGGATTTTCGAAATTTTGAATATTTCGAAAATTTTATATATTAAAATTCAAAATTTACATTTTTACATTTTTTTCAAAAAGTTTTTGATTTTTCGAAAAAACCGGAATATATGTGATAGAACGCGTTATTATGACTAACTCTAGCAAGTTTTAGCTAAATATCTTCAAAAATGGCTAAGTTATACGCATTTTTGCAAAAAATTCACAAATATTAATTTTTCAAATCAATTTTTCACCACGTATTTGACATCGTACGCCAATATAAATAGCACCATCGTGTTCCTGAGCTCAAACTGCATCCAATAGACACCTTTTCTGTTGAAAAATTATAACTTCAAAATTTGACCTTTTTTGACCTGAAAGTGACCTGACCTAAGCTAAATTCGACTCAAAATGACCTCGAATGACACAGACGACATCAAATTCGAAATCTTTGGCCTAAATGGACCATAAAACATGTGTCACGTGACCGACGCATGACATAATATTTTCGTGACCTGTGATGACCTGACCTTGACCTGAAAATCAAAGTACAAGTTTGGTACCCTCAGGGTATCTAGAGCATCTGTTCACGAGTGTGTGAACCAAAAATGAGCCTGATGTGACTTTTAAAACGGCGGCCAGAGCCCAAAACGTGAACAAGCCAAAACGCTAATAATTTTTACTTTGACCTGACCTGTGACGTCATCGGTGACCTCGAGGTCAATGAAATTAGGTTTCGTTCGACAGTTTTTTCCGGGGCTATCAGATGCCGTTTGAATTTTGACGATCAGCCCAGCCCAGTAGTTTCGGAGTTAGGAGGGGGGGGGGGGGGCTATGAATAGCCCCCCCCCCCCGTAGGGCGTGTTATACGCAGACCCCAGTGGGGCGCGGGTTAATATTATCAGTTAATTGCAACTGGGCGGGGGCCTAAGGGGCCCCCTGCACCACTCTTCCCTTCAAGACATCAGGAGGCAAAGAAAACATTTCAAATTCATTTTTTAAATACATAGGCAGTAGGCACAAAGGATTTAGGCATCCTTAAGAAGATCACTAAATTTGACTGTTTTTTTGCTACAACATTGCCATGGAAAATCTAGCATATCATGCATTATGCAACCATGAATTTACAATAGATCAAGGTTCTTATGTCTTATGTTCAATGCTCATGTTCCAATGCTCCCGGTAGCGAGGAGCGCCTATGCCTTCGCTATTACGCCATTTTTCGCAAAGCCTCGGGCAAAAGAAAATATAGCAGGTGGAAAATATAAAAGTATAGATATAGGAGTTATGGGAAGCACCATCATGAAAGTCAACACAAAAAAGGTACAGTGGAGTGGAGAGCTATTTTATCATGCTCAGATTCCGTGCATTCGACATCATAGGCGCTCAGATTCCGTGCATTCGACATCATGGGCCAGTTTCAATGATAACAAAAGTCATGAGTAAGGCAAAAGTCCTTAGCATACCTCACTGCACGCTTTGCAGCATGCCATTGACTGCAACACCAGCATCCAATCAAAGCACGATTCAACGGGTACATGCCTGTAGAAAGTGAAAAACATAAGCACAACATCCTTCAGTCGCGCCAAACAAACAAGTATGTTCGTTACAGATCAGAGCCGCAAAAGCTCCTGAGGTGGGGTTCCTGGAAAAGACTACCGGCACACAAAGCTTGGTGGACGCTTGTTCCTGATCCGTGGACTTTCCAGGCTGCAGGCGCTGCTGAAGAACAAAACAAAGAGCGGCTGATGGTGTCAGCCAGTCGGTTCTCGGCCGCAGAGCTGATCGGTAGCCGCTCAGCATGGCGTCCGCCCGTTCCACGTTGGCGGCAGCTCTGCTGTCCGTCGCCTGTGGTCAGCTTATCTTCGATGGAGATCAGCTGGGGCGTCAACTGGTGAGAGACTGCGGCGTGGCCCAGCCCAGCGGAATATTATTCCCCTCATCGGCTGCTCGTCTTCGTCGCAATGCTAAAAAGGTCGACTTTGCACCTGGGATGGGACCGACCCTCATCCCTACAGTGGTCGGTGGAGAAGACGTGCAGCCGGAGCTGGGCCGCTGGCCGTGGATCGCGCTACTCGGAGAGCGACTCGACGGACAGCGCCGCTGGACGTGTGGCGGCACGCTCATCTCGGCTCGTACCGTGCTGACGGCGGCCCACTGCGTGGTCGGTCGGCGGCCCTCTGACCTGACCGTCCGGCTGGGAGAGCACGACCTCTCCAGAACCAACGACGGACGGCACGTGGACGTCTCCGTGGCCCGCATCACGATCCACCCGGGCTACGTGGGTAAGCAGAACGACATCGCGCTGCTGCAGCTCAGTCGGCCGGTGACGTTCAGCCGCAGGATCCAGCCGGTCTGCCTGCCGGCCGTCGACGCCAGCCACACGGGCAAGACGGCCGACCTGGCCGGCTGGGGCTACACCGAGTTCAACGGCGAGGGCTCCCAGGTGCTGCAGGAGGTGGAGCTGGTCGTGCTGGACGAGCAGCAGTGCGAACAGAGGTACCGCTCGGTGCCCGGCTTCGAGGACGACTTCCCGGGCGGCTTCCAGGGCACCAAGCTGTGTGCCAACGGCGCCGACGGCACCTCAAGGGACGCGTGCCGCGGCGACTCGGGAGGACCGCTAGTGTACCGCAGCAGTGGCTCCGACCGCCGCTACCAGGTTATCGGAGTCGTCTCCACCGGACTGGGTTGTGGCAACCCCGAATACCCCGGAATCTACACAAAGGTCTCCAAGTACATTTCTTGGATATTCAACAACAGTAGTTAGATACGGGACACAGCAATGGTAGTCTCTGCTTCGACTCATCGGTTCCGGGAAAGAAGCACCATGTGATTGTTTCTAAAGTACTTTCAAATTGCGCGAGAAATGGTAGAAGTTCACAGGGAAGGTAGGTAGATGGGTAGCATGATCTGGCTGTGTCGCTCTTAAATTTTTTAAGGAGCAATCTTGTGCATTCAACATTCGAGTGAATGTTCTCGGTGATCGATGAACGTTTAACTTTAGGTGTTGCGTGATATTCTACTCCTTTTCTGTGTATTTTTCCGTCATGTGTCAACTGTCAGATGAGAAAAGCAGATTTCATAATCACCCTACGACTAATTATGTTCGCATCGCACTGCGCTGTTGACAATTGACATTTGCAATTTTGTGATTTTTTGAGAAATATATGATTTTATTTACAACCTGTTGGCATGTTCGGATGAATTGCGCAAATGTACAGGCATGCCGGAACGGTGCGGAGCACTGCCTTGATACAACTGTAACCGTCGCGGCGTGCAAGGCTGACTGAATCACTGTATCCACGTGTAGGTACAGTCTGTCTTAAAAGTACCGCGCAAAGTGACGGTGGATCCATCAAGCCTGACTGAGGTAGGGCCTGCTATAATTTGAAAGTTACCGAACCAATTGACCTAGGGAATGGACGAGGATGTGAATTGCTTCGGTGACTCAAATTTAGTAGGCCCTTCCTCGGTCAGGCATGATGGATCCACCGTCACTTTGCGCGGTACTTTTAAGACAGACTGTACACCAACCACTCTTCACAGTTAGGTATACCAGGTATACCTAACTGTGAAGAGTGGTTGGTACCTATAATACCTAACCACACTTACGAAGAGTTGGGCTAGTTGAGCCATTTTTGGTCTTCTGCAAACTGGAGACTAATTGTATGGTTACATGCAGACAAGTGTATGGATCCGAGTGATGGATGTTATAAGACCTGAGTGGATCTTGAAGCAAACCAGGGATGCGGAGTCGTGGTAGCGATTTCCGACTCTGACTCCGACTCCGGGCTCCTGGTCGGCTCCGTCTCCGACTCCGACTCCGACTCCGGGTCTGATGCGAAATACGACGCGCCGCGCCACCCGTACCTAACGGTATCAACCATGTGGCGACCGCTGCTGCTCAACAAACATTCTGGCAAGTTATTGCTTGCTTTCACGCATGCAGTCAGTGGTTAAGTAACCTACGGACACTCCTGAATCCATTGAAGATCTTATACCTATTTACTTTTATCTGTGTTTTGACACAAATCAACAACAAATGACCAAATACAAACCATTGCGAAACCGAAGCGTCCGGCGTCCGTTGCATTCAGCGTCGGCGGCGGCCGGTCGGGCCGGAAGTTTTCCAAGGTTTTCTGATTTTCCAAACGTAAACAAACTAGCAGACAGCTGATGGCCTTGAAAGTACGCGGCTATAAAATTATAATATAAAGGCTAGCAGTTGTTATTGTTGAGGAAACAAAACAAAACACTTCCGAAAATTATTTCCAGAAAATTTATTTCTAGATATAAATTTATTTCCAGCAAGCAACGCCACAAATTTTAATAAGCTTCCCGGAGTCGGAGTCAAGGCAGCCTGGTCGACTCCGACTCCGACTCCGACTTCGGGCTCGCTACCACGACTCCGGGCGACTCCGACTCCGACTCCGACTCCGACTCCGCATCCCTGAAGCAAACTGCAAATTAGAATCTATGATCGCACCGGATCCCTCGTGAAAAGTAGGTATGCGCTGGAATCTGGATATATGACCTCATAAGATCTGACGATAAGTCAAGAACATGGATCTATGATCCGTGTGGATCCCACCTTGCACGACGTTTGAAGCCATGTTTCGAAGTGTTTCTATGTCAATAAGTGCCACAAAATTATGAGCTAATCCGCGCCCCACTGGGGTCTGCGTGTAACGCGCCCTACGGGGGGGGGGGGCTCTTCATAGCCCTCCTCAACTCCAAAACTAGTGGGCCGATTGTCAAAATTCAAAGGGCAGCTGATTGAATGATAGCCCTGGAGAACTGGTCAGCGAAACCTAATTTCATTGACCTCGATGTCACTGATGACGTCACAGATCAGGTCAAAGTAAAGATTATAAATGCCTCGCTTGTTCACATTTCGGGTTCTGACCGCCAGCTTACAGGTCAGATCAGGCTCATTCTTGTACACACTCGTGAATACATGCTTTAGGTACCGGCTGAGGGTACTAAACTGGTACTTTGATTTTCAGGTCAGTGCCAGGTCATCCCAGGTCACGGACATCTTATATCATGCATCGGTCACAGGACACATGCTTTATGGTCCATTTAGGCCATATATTTCGAATTAGGTGTCGTCATTCGAGGTCGTTTCGAGCTGAATTTAACCAAGGTCAGGTCACTTTCAGATCCAGCAAGGTCAAATTTTAAAGTTAAAATTTTTCAATAAAAAGGTGTGTACAGTGTATCGGTTGCAGTTATAGCTCGGGAACACGATGGTGCCATTTATATTGGTGTACGATGTCAAATAGGCACTGAAAACTGATTTGAAAAGTTTTATTACCGCGGTGAAATTTTTACTATAATGTATGTAGCTTGGCCAATTTTGAAGATATCCTGCTAGAACTTGCTACAGTGTATCATGGGCATGTGTTCTATCACATACCTATATTCCGTTTTTGCTTCTCGAAAAGTTAAAAACTTTTCAAAAAAAGATAAAAATATAAATTTGGAGATTTAACCCGGCAGGCGGTGGGCCTACCAGCCACACTGAAAAAAACTTACTCCCCATTTTCTAATTTTAGAATGTCAAAAAGCACTCCTGCAATCGAATAATTTTATGGCCTGGCATAAGCGCCTAAAATGGGGAGTTTTGGGGAATAAAACTAGCATATAGAATATATTTAGTATCCGAACGCTTATATTATTCGTGCTAGGGAGTAATTTTATGACGGAGGATAAAAGTATGCTATCTTTGGATAAAATTTTACTGTATGCCTGGCCTATTCAAATACATTAGCCTGAGGGGTGTGGTAATAACTGGTGTAAGCAAATTGACCACGGTCAAAAATGCATTACCAGAATGCACTTAAGCCAACATTTTGGGATGGTCTCGTTCCTAAGTCGGCTAAGAGCTTCGGTCCAGAAAATAAATTTATCGTTGGCATACAGTAAAATACATACCAAACTCGGCCGGTGATAAATTTTCAAGACCTCAGTCCTTACTGATTTTTGAACTCGGCCTTCGGCCTCGTTCAAAAATCCAGTAAGGACCTCGGTCTTGAAAATTTATTTACACCGGCCTCGTTCAGTATTATATAACACCAGGGCCCAGTTTCACCAAGTGGGGTAATTTCGGTATGGGGTAGATTTCCATTCTACCCCATGGGATAAAATCCAGTTTCACCAGCTCAAACTACCCCCATGGGGTAGTTTCGGCATCTCTTGTGAATGTTTGCTAAGCAAGCAGCATCAGCAAAACAACGGAACGTTTTGATTGGTCGAGAATTTCATTTCACGACGGCGTGGAATGAAGAACACATTCGATTTGGCTTCTTGTATTTGTCTACCAATCACCTTGGCCCAGTTTCACCAAGTGGGGTAATTTCGGCATGGGGTAGATTTTCATTCTGCCCCATGGGGTAAAATCCAGTTTCACCAGCTCAAACTACCCCCATGGGGTAGTTTCGGCATCTCTTGTGAATGTTTGCTAAGCAAGCAGCATCAGCAAAACAACGGAACGTTTTGATTGGTCGAGAATTTCATTTCACGACGGCGTGAAATGAAGAACACATTTGATTTGGCTTCTTGTATTTGTCTACCAATCACCTTGGTAACGATGGCACCATGGCACCTCAGTTTCCAAGATTCACAACTTTATTGAGAAAGGAATGCAATGCACAACCGCGAATCTTGATGGATGGATATGATGGATGATGGATGGATACAGAACAAAAGGCATGTTTTATTATCGAATAGTATCAAATGTTTCAAAATTAATTAGTGTTTTAGTAAATTAGATGTTCAGATGAGATGTTTTAGATTACATTAGATGTTAAATTAGATTAGATGTTAAGTGTTTTATAATAAGAATATTTTAGTAAATTAGTGCATGTTTTAGTATCGATTGCTTGGTATTTTTGACGACTTTTAACTACAAATCTTTTGCACCAGATGCTTTTTATTTCTAATGTGTATTACAAAATACATACGGTACAGATGCACGGCACGGCCCTCGCCCGTATAGGGGGGGGGGGTCGAACGGACCCGCCCCCCCCATGGTTTTTCGCAAATAACTCGCGTAAAAAGCGGCCGATCGCGACGAAACTTTCAGTACCCTCGCGTTCATCAATTTTACACCTACCCTAAAATTTTCATGACCCTGACCCAAATGACCTTTGACCTGTGACCTACTTTTCGAGACCATGTTTGGCCGGAATCGCGATTCGGCGTATGTCGGCTCGCATTAGCCGCGCGTTTGCAGTCTTTTCGTGGTTTCAAGCGTTCAAACATGTGATATGATGTTGCCCCCATGCATTAGGGTGGGTGTCAAGGTCACCTGAAGGTCAGGTCAGGTCATTGACCTTTGATGACCTCGGTTCACTTTTTCGAGTTTTACATGTTTCTAGACCAGTTTTTGGAGCTGAGTTCGAATTTAGCAACCATATGAACATTTACGAAGTAGTTTTGGTGCCTTCGTAACATGTTACGAAGCTGTTAGAGGCGGTTGCCACCTACTACGAATACCCTTACTGGTTGACCTGACCTGACCTGACCCGACCTGGCCTAAATGCATGAAGACATCATCTGTGATCAAAACTAACATGATATTCGTGATCAGCACCCCAAAAAAACCCATAACAGCCACACTTCACGACGTTCTAACAGGTCCCGATTTTCCCGACTGACCTGGTCATTGACCTGACCTGCAAGGTCAACCAATGACCTAGGACCTTAAAATTGGGCATCATCGGCTTCCTCTCGTCACGAGCAACACGCTCGTTTTTTCCGCGAAGCTCTAGCTCGATCAGGGGCGAAACGGCAAGGGGGGGTCCAACGGACCCCCCCTTATACGTTCGCGGCTGGAAAAACACCAATACGGGCGAGGGTTAACGCAACTTTATTGAGATATGCACAACAAAGACAAAAATGAAAAATAGATATGGAAAGTATCGAATCCACTTGGCCTGATATTTTCAACAACGGCTTATTTCGAATTACTTGCACCATATGCTTTTTATTTCTAATGAGAATTACCTAGGTATGCACGACACATCCTCTTGCTGATTTAGGTACGGCATTTTTTACTTGATTTCAGTTGTTAGCGTCTTGACATTTGTTGGATATTTGCACATTGACCGTAAGGCATATTATATGTAGGTAGTAGGTACCTCAAATGATAATTCGAATAGATCACACAAGTTGAAGTACTATGAATCTATGATCATTTCAACAAGGCACAGCGTCAGCATGTAACCAC